ACCACGTGTATCGAAACCCGGATTCTAGCGTTGTAAATCCGCATACATACCGCTGTGCCACTGGGGAGCATGAAACGAAATAACCAATGTTCTACATAAAATGTATAGGAAACCTCAACAGTAATTAGTGGGATTAATTATAATATTGAGAGTATTTTTTTTATCTAATTTGTGTGTGTGTGATTCTTACGTTATTAGGGACTGAAAGTCAGGGACTCAAAATTTGGTACATAAAAAAAACAATTTAGAAAGGCGTGTTTTAAAAATGAATGGTGGGTTTTACGACTCCAAAGGTAATTTTAATGCTAATTTTTTTAATATCTTTAGGTTAGGATGATAGATGTTGATTTTGTGTGATTGTTTATTTACCGATTGACATTATAGGATATCTGATTATTGCAGCTACGAGCAGGCGTGTCGCTGGGTGCTGGCCCACAAGGTCCGTTCCCCGAATCTATCTAAAATAAGCTATAATATGTTACATTGCAGTTGTGTTATAATTATTTCGAGTAATAGCTGCCTCTTGGGCCCCAAGCCCGGAATATTTCCGGTAGCTAGCGACTCCTCTGATCTAAGAGTGAGGTGAACAGAGTGCCAGGATGTTGATTACAACTCACTTCTTTTGATGTTAGTAATAGCTTTGGTACTTTGTAGGTACCTGTTTCGAATAATTTCGTTTAAAATTCTGGATGTAGAACCATAGTTACTTGAAAGTGAAAGTATTGTTACAAAATATTTACTGTATGAATTAGATTGCATATATTCTTTATTTGAATACGAGACGATGGCAAAATTAAAATTCCTAAATAGTGTTTGTATACACTAGATGGTTTTCACACTGTAATGTATTTCGGATTAATAACAACATTTTAAATTTTCACTTCTGTTTCAAGCCATTTCTGTCTTCAAGTTCTGATTTTCTTATATCATATTTTATTTCTTTTAATTAAAATGTTTTAAATGACTCGATGTAACATAAAAACTTATTGAGCTTTTCCTCATTATTCTGTCACATCAATTAAGTCGTTTAACGAAAAATCGCGGGAGTGTTTGTTTGTTTCAGAATTTTCGCACAGAGCTACAGAAAGGGTTACTTGTGCGTAGTTGTTCCTAATTTAAAGCTACTCTCTAGTCTGATTGGTAGTGGAATGTAACCGTCACTCTTATCACACAACTACAACCTCAAAGTGCGGAATGCGTTTAGCGGCAATGGGCCGCGAACTATTAACCCTTAATTTCACAATGCAAGATTAAGCTTGGGAGAGAGATATAATAAAGAAATGATCCAAGCAACTTTAAACAGAATATTGACTGATCTTCATAAAGAAAATTGTTGTTTGTTTGGAAGTAGTCAATTTTCTGCATATTGGGTTGCTAAGCAGTAAAGTACATAACAGTAACTTATAAAAGGAAAACACTGTAAAGAATGTGCTTAAACTTAATATTTATGCTTAAAGTATGATTTGCTAGCAACTGAATGTTAGTGGGTTAATCCATTAGCTGAGTTGACAGAGCATTCCCTGAATTACGAGAGGTTTTTGGTTCGATTGTGAACTGACGCTCAAACGATAGTTCCCGAGGATGGAGAAGGGTGTGATAGTTTGGGTTGTCTTACTACGTGTTAGTTGTTTAACTCTTCAACTCGGTTGATAGACCACTTGGTATAGACGAACGATAGCCTTGATCGGGTTTTAGATCTATTTTGATACCTGGAATAGCCATGTGCAGCAGAGACGTCTTCCTTCCTCCTTGGCAACATATTTATGTATTATATTACTTCGGTTTCGGGAAAATATTGTGCGGATTACGTCTTAAGATCAAGGTTCTTACCCTACGATAGTATTCACACTGACCCTTTCTTCCCTTTTCAAGGCCATGTACATAAATGTAATACTCATGCCCACTGATTGTGTAAAAGACCTACTCTTCACAAACAGTTCCGATAACAAAATAAAAAAAAATTCACTCGATTAGATACATATTTTAAATAAATACACTTTTAATACCTTAACCTAAGTGATATGTTATTAGTTATAATACCTTTAGCGAGATATTTCCGTTTGAATGTCATTTGTAAACTTACGTCTGCAAGTTACAAGTAGCTTCGCACGAAAATTCAACAAACACATATAAAAGAAACAAATACAGATATAGAACTACATGTGATTTAGAAGGTTACAGAAATGACCACTTCTTCAAAAAGGTGAAGTAGAAGATTAAAAAAAACTGCACTGTCTGAAATTACCAAAAGCAGAAAAACGAAAATATTTGAATATATTTTGGAGGTTATTGATAATTTATAAATAAGTAAGAGATTATTTAAATAAGACAATACAATACACTTCGTTAGACTTCTTAGTTTGTTCAGTAGTGTCACTTGCAGCAATAGAGCTACAAAGGAAATAAGTGAAAAAAGCTTTCAATGACGGAAAATATTGCTTTCTCAACCAGATTCATAAGTAGCCACAAATAAATTGAGCTTAAACAGAAAATGTATTATGGAGTTAACATGAAATTCTATGACTCTTACTGAGTTTGAAGCAGGAAATAGACTAAATGCAGTGTGAACAAAGCGAAAACTTATTGACTAGATACAATTCTAA